CCCGCAATTTTGAGGCTCGGCGCCAATGGCGCCCCTAAGCTCCCACACCCGTGTCACGGCCCCACCGTGGGGCCGCCCCACCGCGCACCGATTCGCGTGAGTGGGAGGCCGGCCGCCGGTATATAAGGCGCTCCGGCGAGCGTAGCGTTACCAGTTCCCGATCCCGAGTCCTACCTAGTACAACTCCTGATCCGAAACCTATACCGCGTTACACCAGGCTACGGGCTACCCGTAGTTACGCCGGGTTACCCGGTTGCTGGGACGGCGCACCCTGATACCTAGCGTTACACCAGGTCACGGGCTACCCGTGGTTATGCCGGGCTTCCCGGTTGCTGGGACGGCGCACTCCTAGTTCGTAAGACCGTACCGCGCCCCGCGCACCGTTCAACCTGGACGGCCGTTCGTATATACCGCGACCGTTTCCACCGTAAGACCGCTTTGGTCTCCGTGTATCTTTCCGTCTAAATACCGCGACCCGTTAGTTTGTAAGACCGTTGTACATATACCGTAACCAGTAAGACCGCTCCGGTCTCCGCGTCCTGATAGACTCTAGCACCGTTTGTATATACCGCGACCTGCTCATATTGTAAGCCCGCACTGTATATACCGCGCATTCTGACTGTAGAGTTAATTAGACATTAGGATTCCCGCCAAGTGTCGCGCCGATTCCACCTTTACGCACGGCCTTCAGACTATTAAGGAGCGTCAGTCCTTTTAAGGATAGAACGCCGAGAACGCCGACGCCCCGTCCTTTTAAGGATAAGGCCGCCAGGCAGTTGGAATTACATCGAAGGCCACGCGACACCCGGTAGTGTTTAAGATCTGTACTGTACCTTGGATTAATCATAGCTTATTTGCATGCGACCACCGCGACTGCAGAACACGGCCGCTTAAGCCACGCTCGCTTCCCGAGCTCATGCGCGAAACTCTGTACGCACCGTGCTTGCACGTCACCTTGCGAATAACAACCGCTCCCGCGCAAAACTCTGTACACACCGTACCCGCATGTTGCTTCGCATAGCTTTCAGTGTTAAATATCTTTTTGAATAAACCTAATTATTTAAACCGCTTGTACGAGGCACAGTAAGTTGGAGTTTCCCCCTTCTCCCGAATCCTGGCACCGGCGAGCCTTGATCCGCGGCGTACGGGAAAGGTGAACCGTTACAATATCGATAATAATCGATTTTTTATACTTTTTATAATATTAATATGTATACTCACAAATTCTAATAATCGCGGGCTAGTAAGAGCCAGAACGCGGATGGCAGTGCGTTCACTCGAGAGCCTAATTTCTTAAATTTGTTAGTTCACGCCGGCTGAAAGATGGCGTTAATAGTAATAGATATTATAAGGCAAATGAGAAGTATCGGTGGTGTGGGGTCTGAATAGCTCAGAGGTAAGAGCAGTCGCCCGGCAAGCGAAAGACTCGGGTTCGATTCCCGATTCAGCGACTTCGCCCCGATATTTTTCTCGCCTTCGTCTCTCCAGGGGGGTAAAGAGGGATTATTATAAATCTCGAATTGAGATTAATTTTTAAAAAATCTTGGTATACACCAAGTAAATTTCGTGCCCTGTGCACATATTCAGTTTCATAGAAAACTTATTTTTCTATGAAACTGACGCACTGCCATCCGCGTTCTGGCTCTTACTAGCCCGCGATTATTAGAATTTGTGAGTTCACTCGAGAGCCTAATTTCTTAAATTTGTTAATATGTATATGTAACTTTTTATAATGATAATATGTATATGTAACTTTTGTGTATAATAAAATGTTCTTCCGGTTTTTTGTTTTATTTTGCAAATCTACCGAAAGTTGATTTCTGAATAGCTCATATATTTCAATAATTTATAAGACTAGATAAAGTTATAATAATATAATATAAGTGGACAGTGTTGTCCAAGAGTGGCACACGATGACAATTTCGCTCTCACTAGCGGGACTCTATACAAAAATTGTCTATCAAACTTCCTTTGCAGAAAAGTTTAAATAAATAAACTATTACTAGCTGTATTACTATAAAAAATTTGATATATTGTCAACACTCCTCACCTCTCTCTCTCTCTCTCTCTCTCTCTCTCTCTCCCTCTCTCCTCTCTCTCTCTCTCTCTCTCTCTCTCTCTCTCTCTCTCTCTCTCTCTCTCTCTCTCTCTCTCTCTCTCTCTCTCTCTCTCTCTCTCTCTCTCTCTCTCTCTCTCTCTCTCTCTCTCTCTCTCTCTCTCTCTCTCTCTCTCTCTCTCTCTCTCTCTCTCTCTCTCTCTCTCTCTCTCTCTCTCTCTCTCTCTCTCTCTCCTCACCTCTCTCTCTCTCTCTCTCTCTCTCTCTCTCTCTCTCTCTCTCTCCCTCTCTCACCCTTCCCTTCTCCCCCAATCGATTTTAGATAATACTATAAAGTTAATATACATATATAAAGGAGTAACGGGTTAATTAGGAGCCTAAGGCTGTAAACAATGCGCCAATTTTTTTTCAAAATTAATTTTTATTTTTCGTACGTTTCGGTCCTATAATTTTGGACTATCTTTAGCAAGCTGTCAAATACAAATTGTGAATAGTCAACTACAGATCGGGTAAAAATACAAAAGATATGAATTAATGAATACGCATTTAATATATACAAATTATAGATGAAACGCATGTGTCTGTCTGTGACCCTCAGCAGTACCTCCGACGGATAATCTTAGTGAATCTCTTCTTGGTTCCAGCCGTAAAGGGCACATTGTATTGATTCTGGATGTTTAAAACCATTATGCTTGTGCATTTTACCTTTAACATTTAGTGTTTGTGTGCAAAAGAGCGGCGTAAAGTGAAGTTAGTGAAACTTATTGTTAGTTATGTTAAAGAGGTCACTCACTATATCCATCGAACAGCGAGCAGCAGGTCACAAGAATCGAGACTAACAACTGTCAGACGTTTGAAAATAATACATAGAATCGTATGACATAGGTGACATATAAATAAACAACTAAAATTTTTCTATCAAGTGAGATTAATATGTGATGACGAATCGTATGCGCGCTAGGTTTAAATTTTCGGAAGAGTCTCTACTGTCGTGAGATATGCATGATGTAAGCTCTTTGTCGCTTTGAAGATTTAGCCCGCTAACTTGTCTTTTTATGAATAACATCTCAGACATCAGTCGCTTCTCGTAAATGTGCTCCTCATCCAGTACTTCCACTTTATATCAATCAAACTCGTGATTAATTAATCTGTGGTCCGTGATAACAGAATCTTATGTAGTATTGCGTTTAATATGTTCGGAAATTCGAGTTTTTAGTAGTCTTCTAATCTGTTCGCGCGCGCGACGTTTATGAGGCGTTACAATTCTTGCATTCGATCTTGTATATGACATTGTTATGCATTTCATTAGATAGAATATATTTTTGTACTCGGATTAATTGTTTCAATTTATTAATGCCGGTATTAGTAAGAATTTATTGCGGCAGTCCGGTTTGTCCTTGACTCCATGTTTTTTACTTTTAATGACGTTTATTATAGATAAGGTTCGACACTCCGATCTCGCTGATCATCACTGACATCACATTACAGGATTTGGAGACGAGGGCGATCGAGATTCTTCCTTTGACACTTCCGTTTTATACAGTTTGTATACACATTTTATTACAGATATGTTGACGATATCGCATTGGCGTTTCCCTCCTCTATGCTTAACATCGTAATACAAATGTCCAGCTCATTACACCCGAGGCTACAGTTTACACTTTGATTGGTATCACAAATCCACCTTTTCTGGAAGATACCTCCATTTTGAATCTCGACACCCTCTCTGTCACAAAGAGGCACTGTCATCGGCCTCATTGATAGCTTTCCGGCTATCCAGGTTTCCATAAAAAAAATCTCGAATTCGTTGTAAATACTTTACTTAGAAACGGATATCCTCTTTCATTCATATTCACAACATTACACGAAATAATTAAAACATTAATTACATTACACATGAAGAAAAACGACATTATACAAACAACGAATCCAGTCAACAATGAAAATACCGCCAAGCCATCATTCTTCAATATTCCATATGTTTCGACAATTTTGGAACAATATAAGCCTATGGTCCGAAACTTACAGACAAAACTATCTTATACCGGCATTAATAAATTGAAACAATTTATCCGAGTACAAAAAGATATTCTACCTAATGAAATGCGTAACAATGTTATATGTATACAAGATCGCATGCAAGGATTGTAACGCTTCATAAACGTCGAACAGATTAGAAGACTACTAAAAACTCGAATTTCCGAACATCGAAACCATATTAAACGCAATACTACATAAGATTCTGTTATCACAGACCACAGATTAATTAATCATGAGTTTGATTGGGATAAAGTAAAACTGGATGAGTAGCACATTTACGAGAAGCGACTGATGTCGGAGATGTTATTCATAAAAAGACAAGTTAACGGGCTAAATCTTCAAAGCGACAGAGAGCTTACATCATGCATATCTTACGATAGTAGAGACTCTTCCGAAAATTTAAACCTAGCATGCATACGATTTGTCATCACATATTAATCTCGCTCGATAGACAAATTTTAGTTGTTTATTTATATGTCATCTATGTCATACGATTCTATGCATTATTTTCAAACGCCTGACAGTTGTTATTCTCGATTCTCGTGACCCACAGCTCGCTGCTCGATGGATATAGTGAGTGACCTCTTTAACATAACTAACAAAAAGTTCCACTAACTTCACTTTACGCCGCTCTTTTGCACACAAACACTAAATGATAAAGGTAAAATGCACAAGCATAATGGTTTCGAACATCCAGAACCAATACAATGTGCCTTTACGGCTAGAACCAAGAAGAGGTTCACTATGATTATCCGTCGGGGGTACTACTGAGGGTCACAGACAGACACATGCGTTTCATCTATAATTTGTATGTATTAAATGCGTATTCATTAATTCATATCTTTTGTATTTCTACACAATCTGTAGTTGACTATTCAAAATTTGTATTTGACAGCTTACTGAGGATGGTCCAAAATTAAAGGACCGAGACGTACGAAAAATAAAAATCAACTTTGAAAGAAAAATAAAAATTTCCGCATTGTTTACAGCCCTAGACTCCTAATTAACCCGTGTGTTTTTTACTTCTTTATATACAGGGTGTCCCATTTTAAAAGTTCCACCCTTATAACTTTTCAGGATCAACGTTTGAAGGAAAACGACTCGGATAAAAGTTGTAGGGAAGAAAGGGGGCTACCTAACAGTGACGTTGGATTTGACATTAAAGGTCATTTTTAAGGTCATTTGAAGGTCAACCCCAAACCTATTTCTGATTTAAAACTAAAATTTGGTTTGGGTTAGGTTATATCTTCCGGAAGTGGAGCCCCCCTGTAGGGGGGGGGGGGCGGAACCCACTGTGTGCACGCATATACTTTACAAAACAAAGCGAAGTTCGCCCCACAATTGTTGTGTGGATGGGAAAGTATATGCGTGGACGTAGTGGGCTCCATTATAAAAAAACTAGACACATAGGTTTGCGTTGAACCTCGCTTTGCGTGGAAAGTAAAAAAACTCAAAGAGCTTCGTCTCTGGAAATATAAAGAAAGACTTTTTTCACGTCTGATCTACATAAATACAATGTAAACAACCTTTCTTTTTTTTTATTTTATAATAGAAAAATCATTAAAATTGTGAAATCACAACTTTAAATATCTCAGGAACTATAAGAGACCGCCGGATAAGTTATAAGGAAAAGTTACTCAGGGTTATGTCCTTGACAACATATGTCAAGGTCAAAGTCATCGGTTAAGTGTAATCTAATATGCATATTTACCGAATATTTGATAGTGCGTTAATGTGTGTAATGACGGTGA